TTTGTTATTCACTTTCCCCATAACTCTCATGAGGCAAAGGCAAAGCAATTCTCAGGGGACAATAGTATTTTTCTCTGTACAACTTGGAGCAAGCAGACTCCAAACCCTTGCTCTAACTTTGTCTAGGCTTGTTAGAAGGGTGTTCTTCTTTTCTTATCATGAGAATGGTGCTGAACAAGGGCCTAAATCCAATTCTTCCCACACAAAAGAGTCCCATGGAGAGCTTCCCCTACCGACTGTAAAACGTGAGCTGCTCTGCCAGGTTGCTGTCCAAGTTCAGTGACACAAAAAACCACCCAATTTTGAGCTAGTAGCGCTTGCTCTCATCAAGGTATTGCATTTGAAATGGACAGATCTCAGTGAGCCTCACAACAGAAAGCTTTTACTGGACATGTGCCTCTGTCTTTCCTGGGCTCTTGCAGTTAACATGAAGGCCAAACGAGCGCAAAGCCTAACAGAGTGACACAAAGAGGATGGGGATGAAAAAATAACCTCCAAAAAGGAAAAGGCAGGCAAGAATGTTTGAAAAGGAGCTGCCACCAAATAAAGGATACACAGATCCATATGAAACACATTTGGAACAAATTTGGTTTTCTTACTCAGAGAATTTTTTTCTAAACGTTAAGACAACACCTAAAGAGTCCATGAGGCTGCACTGTACTGGGAGTGCTGCAGATCTCATGCAGCAGCATGTCAGGAGGTGATTTATTGTAAATCATCTGTGGCAAGTGATGAATTACTTCATGTTCTGCTTACAGCCTGCAGAGGAAATGAAGCCCAGGGAACCTCTCTGACCTCCAGCTGCATCCAGACCAGCTAGAGACCTTTGACAGACGTATGCATTAAAGAGACACACTAATCTGACAGCCACTAGTTCATACTTTAAAAAACCAGCACAGCCAAATACTTTTCATGCTCAAATTAACGAAGCACAAATGATCTTAGAAGTTTGGGAGGTTTTCACTGATAACCTGAAAAAAAACAAGTAATCCAGAGGCAAGGCTCACTGTGTCTGTATTCCAATATTTTGGAATCAGTATCTAGCATGCTACTTCCTATCCTGAAAACACACAAGGTGGGTATAAATAAAGATACAAATATACAGTACTATGAGAAATTGACAGTAAGAGAATCTTGTTTCAACAGCTTCAAAGTCAATTGGAGAAAATCCACAGCAGAAAAGTCTGGTCTCAACAGCCAGACCAACTGCACAAACCACAAACCCAGAAATCCCTCCTTGCTGTAGGTGACCCAGGTTAAAGGTGAGAGATCCCAGCCTGCCTGTTAACTGCCTTTCATTCTGAGATACTTGAGATTCACTTAGACTTGTTTTTATTTCAGTAACTGTTAACAACAGGAAAAAAAAAGCCCATAGTTATTCACTATTTGTGTTGAGAAGTAATGAATAATTGATGTTTGAAAGGAGCACAGATTGTGTGTATAGCTTAAGTGACAGATATTATCAATATCTGATCAAAACAATTTTTAACATATAAAAGACGAAAGTTGATTTTCCAGAGAGTTTTGCATTATATTTTAGGCACATTTTGAGAATATAGAATTATTCCAGAACAAGGTTAAAGTTACTGTGACATTATAGAAGCCACTTTTTACAATTAATCACCCCATACAAGATCCTTGAAGAGAATATCATTACATTTGCAAAACAAAGAAGTGAACAAAATTATGAAAGGGGCAGAATTACCAGTTGCAAGGTCAACCTTGGTTTTTATGATTCAGAAACAGTTAATTCCACTCAGAGCCTTCTTAGGGCCCCCAGATTTAAGCACACAACACAGACATTTTGATACAAAAAAGCCAAGTGTGTGGCCTTGAGATGGTGTTTCAGGGCACAGGGAGTTAAGAACCTTCTGAGAGTCCCAGAAACACCCACTCCATCAGTCATTCAGGAGAGGCAGGATTAAACAGACCTACCTAGAGCCCACCCAGAGGAAATGTGGAAACAGGGAACAGCCTCTGGATACTTCACTCAAGGCTCTACCACCTGAGATAGAGCAGGGTTATAAAGGTGGTCTCATCAACCCCACACACCCTCTGCTCCCAGATCCACTGTCCCTGGCCAGAAATGGCTGGATCACCCATCTGACATCAGCCTGAGCTATTCCACTTACTAAGATGGCAGAAAACAAAAATGTTAGTTAGGTTTAACAACAATACAACAGGAAGTAGAGGCATGGAGGAGAGAGAAATAGGAAGGAGAACTGCTCTTTCTGGCTCACTACAACACAAGTAATCCTTTTGAGGAGACACCCAAGAGTGGAGGGACAAAAACCAAAACTCTCTTTGTATCAAAGCCTGGCCCTGGCCTCTGCTCCTAAAATTATTCATTGACTTTATTCAACAGCTCTTAAAATACAACACATGAGCAGAACATGCAGCAGAGCCCTGCACCACTCACACTTGATTCTGAAAACAGAAGGACCACGTTGATTTTTCTAGGGTTCTTTCACTAGAGCACCACTTCAAGCATTAGCTGAATTTACTTTGTCAAATCAGCCAACCTGTACAGGTGGCAGACCAAGGACACAGGTTACAGTCAAAAACATCCACCACTGCCTTCTCCAAGGACTTTGCCTATGACATTTTACTCAAAGGCAGCAGTCTTTACCTTCCAACACTCAGCATTTCTGCGGGTCAGCTCAGAGCATCCCAACCATCTCCACCTTCTTCATTGCTTACTGGTCCCAGTTTACCCCAGCTCCCTCAAACCTGCTGGTCAATCCAGACCTCCTCACTACAGACTAAAGTACAGACAAGTACTAGGGGGCTTACTGATCTCTAAAAGGCAACTGCACTGTTCTTACTGAACAAGTTTTTTCAAAACCAACATACTAAAAAATCAGCTTAAGACAGGCACAGAGAACAGGAAATCCCAAAACAAATAGTTAGGAGGTTTAGAGATAAGCAACGGAAAACTGGATCTCAGAATGGGAAATGTTGGACAGTCTAAAAGCATGCAATGCTTCCTGGCCTGCCCAAAAGAAGCGTGATGCCCTTATTATGTGCTCTGCAAAACTGATGGACTTCTGGAGTATTCATTTCCTAGTTTCTAAATATTTGGGTTTTGAAGATGAAGAGGCAAGTAATCCTTTTGTTCTCTGTGGAGGATCATAATTGGGTTTATGATAAAGAGGAAGTCTGTTGCTGATATAAATTAGCACAGATTTAACACAGATAGGCCAGCCGAGCCAGAGAACAGCCTGGTCTGAAGGATTCTCCCTCTCCTTTTTCATTGCTTAGCATTTGAGGGATATTAAATCTGTCACAACCTTTACAAACAAAAGGTGTGCTGTGCTGTCATCAGTCTCAGAGCTCTGGGGTTTCTGCATGTGTGCCCAGCTATTTAATAACAGTTTTATGAGCCTTAAGAAAACACAGCAAATACTTTGCATAATTGAGGCACACATGCAATACTGAGTGAGAACCCACATGCAGCTTCAATTACATCCAGAGTGATCCAGAAACATGGATGTACTCCCTAGATGCTACACCCAGCAAGGGATCTACACATCTGTGCCACAGTAACAGCAAACCTCAGGGCAAATGCAGAGCCAGCAGCCCAGTGCCTTGTGCCACTGCTGAGGGGACCAGCTGCCTCCCCAGAACACCTCTTCTCTCCCAGGGTCTTTGGTTCTGGGCATCTGCACAAGGCAGGAGTCGTGTGACTGCCTGGAGGAGCAGAGCTCTGGGAGCTGTGGAGCACAAGTCCATAGAAGGCAGGCTGGGAGCAAGCTAACACACAGCTAGGTGGGATCAGGAGAGCACAACCTGCCAAGGCCCCACACTGAGAAGTCACTTGGCAGCATAAATGCATCCCATTTTCAAGCATTACATAAAATCTGCCACAAAGTCAGTGTCACACTTCATCAAACAAATTTTTGTTTGAACTCACAAGTCAGAAAATTTTGTAAAATAATGTACAGGGCAAGATTACAAGGGATTACTTTAGATATTTTGAAGCTGTTTAATTCTGCACTCTCTGAGGAAAAAGCTTCTTTCCCTTGCTGGAAATATCAGAATTCCATTTTCTGTACCTAGAGTAACAACAGAAACTCTTGGAGAGCCTGGTCTGAAAGGATCTCAGTGCCAAAATGCAGCGTAAGACACAATCCATGCACTCTTTTTCAGAACTGCATCAAGTTTTGGGCCAGTTCTGAAAATGTGCACATTAAGCTCCAACTGGAACAAGCTGTGAAAGGTCACTTACAACCTGGGGACTTTTTCAGTACCTATACAGAAGGGGGACTTTGGAAATTGAAGTTCTCTCTACAGTAACTGCCTACCTGGAAGTATGGCAACAAGTTTTCTTGAGATTTGGCAGCTGTTACCAAAGAAAAAGCACCGAGTGTTCAACAGACAGCCCTGGCTTCCCTCTGAAGCAGGCTCTCATCAAGACCCCTTTTCCTGGGAAAAGCTGCTCCTCATCTGAGATACAAGCAATGCAGACTCCACATGATTCCACGCACTGGGTTCAGGGAAAGCAGAACTAAATCCTCAGAGATTCTGTCCTTCGTCCCATGGAGGACTGGTCTCTCTAGGAACCAGTAATGAGGAGGACAAGAAATGTTGCTCAGAGATGGGAAAGGGAGAGGTGGAAGAATCAGTTCTCACTGAACTGCTGCGAGGCAGTCCAATACTTGGTCCCAGAAATAAAGTAATTATTTATACTTATTAAAGTAATTATTACTACACCTTATTATAAGGGATCCATTTAAACCACAAGCAAACAGTCTACAAGAGCACCTGCAGGAAAGGATCAAGATCAAAGGTGAAACTCCAGGTCAGGACCTATTTTATTTTCTCATGGGTTTCAGTTTCCTTTTTTTGTTTGTATTTAAATAAAGGCTACATTTCTGCCAGGTTGACCACATTATTCCACACTGCAGCATTCAAAGCACAATGGATGTAATTCCCCACATCCCCCACATTTTCCCATGTTTGTTTTACTTACTATCCCATCAAAAGTTTTCTTCTCTTACCTTTATTACTTCTGGGGCCTGTTGAATTGAAGCTGGAACAGAGTCTCTGGAGGCAGCCCCAGCATGGCTTTTTTGCCCTGCAAGCAGGGACTGTGAAGGAGTTGCTAAAGTTTCCTGGAGAATTTGCATCACTTCCCTCTCCTTGGACAAACTTCCCTTGCCAGTCTGGAATTCCACCAGCTCCTGGGCAAAGTCCTCAATGCTTCCCAGAATACGCAGTAAAAGGGCTTTGTCATCCTCTTCCATTTTATGACCGTTAGTTTCCATGATTTTTGACAAAGAAGAAGGGGGATCAGCAGGTTTGCTTTTGGGTTCAAGAGCCAGAGGTGGAGCCTGCCTACCCTGCCTGCCAGACACCTGCAGTGAGGCAGGCTCGCCCTCCTTCCAAGAGGGCTCTCTCAGAGTACTCTGCATTTTCTGTGAGAAGTTCTCCAAGTCCAGCAGCAGTTTGTCTATCTCCTCCTTGTCCACCCTACTGCACGTCTGGGCTCCTTTGGGGGCAGCAGCTTGGGCACCACCCAACACAGGGTCTGACACCGGTTTTAAAGGAGCAGTTTGCTGGGGAGCATCTCCCGCCCTGGCCCGCTCTGCTTTAGCATCAGCAGCAAGGTCTGAACCAGCAGCTCGCTGGTAGCTGCGCTCCAGGCTCTGCCAGCCCCCCTTCTGCTCTGCCTTCTTCTCTGTCCCTGCTGTTCTGTCCCCATCAGACTCCTCCTCGATGTACAGTGCCTCGGTGGCAGACGCGCAGTCGCAGGGGCTCGGGGCTGGTGACTGAGGTAGAGCGTCTTTCACAGCTCTCACGCTGCTCTCTGGAGGGACAGCGGGCAGGGAGCTGGAGGTGAAGCTCACAGTACCTGTCTGGATGGACTGGGAGGTGCTTGTCACCTCACCCTGACCTGGTAGAACGAGAGGAGCTGCACTTGAGGATGGCAGCTGAATGATATCTTCATACCTGGGTGGCTGCTCGTCACCAAATACCAGGGGAAAGGGAGTTTGCTGCAAGCCATGGAAACAGTTCATCAGCTCTGCCCAGTCACTCGCTTCCCTCTGCCCTCCTGTTTTCAGCTCAAAGGGCAGCTTTTTCAGGTAGGAAGAAAATCTTGACATCAGATTCATGTATATCCTTTCTGAATTAGCCAGGGGATCATTGCTGCTTCCTCCACCAACGACATCTGCAGACTTCTTCTTGATGCAGTGTTTGATTATGTCCGTGCACTTTTTCAGATCCTCTGAGCACTTGAGCAGGATGTCCAGGCACACCTTAATATCCCCACCAGAAGAACCATCTAGCTTGTGTTTTTCCAAAATCTGAGTAATGAAGTTTTCTTCAGGGAAGGAATGAGGGCAGAAGGGAACCACAGGATTCATGGTGACTTCTGGAGCATCACTGCTCTCCTGCCATTTGTCCACAGGTGAGGGACTCTGCAAAAAGCCACAGGGAGGGCAGTTCTCATCATTGTTAAAGTGCCCATAAATCAAGTCAAAATCAAAGGATCGTCTGCTGAAAGATTCTGACCGGACTTTCCTTCCCTTTCTGTAGGCCACATGACTGGAAGAGTTTTTGAGCTTTTCAAAGGAGAATTCCTTTATTTTACCACTGGCAAGGTTTATTGCCTCACCAGTAATGTCTTTTAAACTGCTGGAGGCTTGCACTGAAGAGCCCTTCTTGATTCTTGGATTATTTGGGAGGATTTGGTGATAGTCCTCATTTCCAGCCAAGGCAAGCCCATTTTCAGGAACAGGAATTTTATGGTCCAGGTTGGCATCTTGGACACTGAGCTCTGCACAGACACTGTGGTGAGCAACTATGCAGGTGAGTCCCTGTCTGAGGAGCTGGCAGGAGCCTGTGCAGTAGTGCACGGTGTGCTGGGAGTGCTGCTCTACCACCACGCTGCTGTAGCAGTTCACTGAAGTCACCATCAGCCTGTAGGTCGCTGCCATAGCACAGACCACGCCGGGAAGTGAGGCTGCAAAACTCACCATGAACTTCACAGGGAAAAGCTCACTTTTCACAGCCACACCAGACTGGATGAAAACATTCAAATGTCAATTGGAAACATCCAAACTGTGTGAGGAGCTACTGCCTTGGAAAGCCCTGGAGAAGTCTGGAGTGGTTTCAGCAGTACAGTTACAACAACTAGTGCAACTTGCATATGGTTTAACTTAAGGCACCTCGATGCTCATATTCCATGCTCAGCAGAGGTGCAGCACAAGCTGCTCCATTTCCAGTCCAGGTAGCTTCTCCAGCAGAGGCCATAAAATCCAGTCAGTTTTAAGGCAGAAGTGACAAGTCAACAATTTCTGTTTGACCCTTTTTCTGTGGTTTTGGGTGGGTCAGTAAAAGGTAGATAATCCAGTAGCATGTGCAGAGAGAAAATCCAGAGTGTACTTGGGAGATTCCTCTCTCACACTGGTGACACAGGTCCCTGCAATAGAAATAAAGGTGACAGTCATTATGATTGCCATGTATTGTGCAGCCTTGTCTGCTACCAAACATCTGGCACCAGACAGAACAACCAGCACACAGGCCTGCACAGAACAGAGCAGGCTGATAGTCTTCTTTCACTCAGATCTACCATATAAGAGCAGTGCTGAGGAGCTGGCCTATATTTATACACAGGCTGTGTGCTGCCATTTTAACAGCTCTATTTTAGCCACTCATTAATTTTTTTCAGACTTGCTTTTTTTCCTCTCCAGACCGAGCAAAACATTACCTTTAATTCTAATAGAGCAAAACATTTTGATCCTGTTGTGAATTTCTGCCTTTTGTTTTCCAAGGCTCTAAAGATAAGGCAAAGGGCAGTAGAGAAAAGCACTTTCAGGACTTCCAAGCCCTCTGGATTATAAAAAGCTGCAAAAAGCCTGCAGCAAAGTAGCTGAATGCCTCTAAGAATGCACAGTCTTTAGTAAAGGCCACACTGGCTTCCATTAGCCTTTCACCAAGGTCTCTGGGACCATAGCAATATATTTTAAGGAGGAATAACTGTTGCTCTTACAACCCATAAATAGCAGCATATTTAATACAGTAAGTCCACTGCTGTAGACATTGAGGATAGTAACATTTATATAAAGGTTAAGCCTATGAAAACTAGGAATTGAGTGTTTTACACTTGGCACAGTCATTTCCAGCTGCATTTCCTATCATCATGGTCAGAACTGTGCCAGAAAAAAAACTCAAAAGCTGTTTAACTTTGTTATAAAAAAAAGCAAATCTCAGATTTAAGGGTCTTAAATTTTAGACATTGCCTTATCTTTCTTTAATACATGAACAATCAAATGAAAACACCCCAGCGAAATTCTGAGCACCCTCTATTCCTGTACAAACAGAAATCTATTTAATAAAACATTATTATATCACACAGCTAAGTCACTCCACAGCACGGGTTTATTTTGGTTTCTTCAAAGGCAAATATCCAGCACTGCGAAAGGCCAGGCCTGCACCTGATGAAAGCACTGCCCTCCCCACAGTTCCATCCCATAACTTAGCTCAAAGCCTGGACAAACACAGCCCACACAAGGCAAATCCCCTAAGAGTTTGGTGCTGTTATGATTACCCACTGGGGAGAGCACGAGTCTAAACATTCACATTTTACATATTGTAAAGCCTTAATTTAAAATTGAGAAGCACTGATTCAAGAGCGTTCAATGAAATTTGTGATGTGCCACGTCTGCTCACTGCAGTTACATGGAGTGGGCACAGGTAAAGAACCCTTCCTACTTTGTTCTTAGGATTATATAAGGCATTGAAAAGATTGCATTCAGGACAAAGAGCTAACTGCCATGCTGGGCTCTGTAACAGGCTGCCACCTGCCCATCCCAGCTGCGGGCCAAGCAGCTCCTCTGCTCCTCCTGTCCTGGCCTGCCCCCCTCCACACCCACTGGCACTGCCCCAAAGCCCCTCCGGCGCGGGAGGGCCCTCCCGAAGGATGAGCAGAGGTATGAGGTGTGCCCCTTCCAGAGGAACAGCAGTGGTACCAGCTGTGCCCTTCCCCTGGGATGAGCCATGGTACAAGGTGTGCCCCTTCCAGAGGAAGGGCAGTGGTACCAGCTGTGCCCTTCCCCTGGGATGAGCCATGGTACAAGGTGTGCCCCTTCCTGAGGGAACAGCAGTGGCACCAGCTGTGCCCCTTCCCCAGGGAACAGCAGTGGTACCAGCTGTGCCCTTCCCCTGGGATGAGCCATGGTACAAGGTGTGCCCCTTGCCCAGGGACAAGCACAGGTACCAGGTGTGCCCCAGCCACTGCAGCGAGTCAAGGTGCCGGTGGAGAAAGGGCACCTTTTCACACTCTGAGGTGCTCACACCATCACTCACAAAGCCAGGGAACACACTTCACAGCCTCCACTCACTGCTCTCAGGCTTCACTGCCACGTGTGCTCAACCCTCTGCTGAATCAGAGCCGCAGTTTAACAAGGGCTGCTGGCTCCCCAGTGCCTTCATGGGCTCCGTCAGGAAACTCATGCTAGGCCTCCAGAAAGCCCAGTGATCCACGGACTCCCTTCAACACATCAGGGTAAGAGGCCTGCTGCTTTTCCTCTTCTGAGCCTCCATCAACTTCAAACAAGCCTTCTAGCATTTCCTGAAATGACTGCTATATAATACTTAGAGAAAGGAGAGGCCTTCAGGACAGCAAGTTTGATGATTAAAGTTGCTTCTCAAAAAGCATAGGACATCCCGAGGGCTCTTTCCTCCCTCTGTGTCACATACAGCAAGGATAGACTGGTTTTCTTTTAGCAGCAAAGAACAGTTTGGGTTTATACCTAATTTGGGCAATAATTACATCTTGATTAAGTTATTTCTTAATTAGAGTAATAACATATTACTCACTGTCTCCTCCTCTGTCACTCCAAGGGTAGTTTCCTCCCTCCACATCACTGACTAAGCCTGTTTCTCTAATTCTTTAAACCACCTTCAAGCAATGAAGTTTTTGTGTCTGTAAGGTTATTCCTTCAAGGAAAAGGTCTCCTAGATTCCCAACCTAAATGGACTTTTATTTTTTTTTGTTCAACCTTGTATTGCCAGCTATGCCCAATAACAATTTTAGGTGTTTATGCAATGATTGCTGTAGTCTCTAATTCCTTTCCAGTTTGCCTGTATTCCTCTGGTACTATCACAAACCAACACAATGCAAAAACAAATTTGCCCAGGCCAACACAAGGATTGCTGCCTCCTGCCTCTGCTGTCAGCACCTTTTACTGCTGCATCCGAGCAGGAAGTAATCAAACAATCAATACAAAACCCCAATATCCTCTTTCCTACCACACTAACTAATGCCTTTTCAGTAATTATTTACTAATTGCTTTATTATCACTGTCTGCAGAAACATGCTCAGGTTATTCAAGGGCTGGAACAGTACAAATCCTTATAGATGCAGAGTAGAAATTTCTCTCCTTTCCCACTGCCTTGCCCAAGGTAGGACATGCTCAGCTTGCAGCTTTATTTGAATGTGATCTGTTGAACATGATCCAGCATGCAAACTTAGTCAGGACAAAGCCTGAGAGAGGAGCATCCCTGTTTTCAGATCTGGGAACACAGCCTCAACTGAGCTTCAGTTGTGACTCTTGGTGGGTGACTAAAACCTACTATTTATAAGTAGAATGAAAAGACCAAATGCATCAAGAAGGTTTCCTACTTGGCTCTTTCCAGGCTGGAACTTCATTCCAGTTTGACTCTAGAGCAGCCCCCAGCTCAGAACCACTGCAGAAAGATTCAGTAATTAGGACTGCTGCCATGAAACCAGCCCAGCCCCGGGGATACAGGACTGGCTCCACAACACAAACTGTGAATGAATAGTGCTTCTTGTGTGACTGCAGAATAATGCTTTATGTCTGTCCTATCTCTGCAAGATGACATGAATTACTTTCCAAAGGAAAAAATTATTGCAGATACTAATTATATAAAAGGTTATTCCACAAGACATACAAGAAATTCTATTCATGCAAAGATTATGCAGAAGTTAAAGAATTCAACAATGACTATCTGTTCAGATTGGGACTGTCAGCCAGCACTTGCAAACTGAAGTCTAGAAAGCTACAGGACAGGGCTCCAATACCTCTGAAAGTCTCTAACTCACCAAAAGTCTTCTTGAACACTTATCTGCAGCACTAGCAACAGGAGCTAGAAGCCACCATAACACAGTATTGATTAAGCCAATCTTCCTGCACCAGGACATGGCCTGAGCATCACTGTGGAACTGCTTGTTTCTAGTGGAAAGTGTGGTAGGACCAACCCTCCAGTTTGGTACTCTTGCAAAAGAAAACAAAGACTGAACAACCTGTTTGTCATTTGGACAGTCACCAGTACAGCTTCAGGTGTATCACCATGCCTGTGTAATCAGTGTCAGGTCTTATCCCCTTAGAAGGGCTTGTGGTACCAAAAAGCAACATTTAACTGTACCTTCTTACTTAGAAATGATTGGGTTTTGTTTAGAATTTACTGAGCAAAGCAGATTTGGGAGCAAGCTATATGGATTATAGAAGAAAAAAGCAGACAAACAACAAAGTAATGTTTCTTTCCAAGAAATTTTTGTAACAAATCCAGTTCTGCTGAATTAAGTGGAAATTTTACAACCAGACACTTAATGAATTATTTTGGTTCACAAAGGAACTGATTAACAACTCGCCATCACTTGCACAACTTTTTGCTTCTCAAAAAGGAACAGGAGATTAAAATTAGTAACTTTTCTTTCTATACTGAATAAATTCAGAAGAAAAAAATCTGGGTTGTTTCTTTGTCCTGTATTTCTTATATATTTACAGCTTATAATATTTTGATGTGCTTAATGGCAGCAGAACTATTTTGTATGTAGAACTTAGGTGGGAAGTGCAGCTTTTCAGTCCTCAGGACCAGCAGAAATTTGATGCACATTTCAGGGACAGTAGAAGAAACCACTCACAATTGCACCTGTACAGTTTGGGGATTACAGGGGCTTACACCACTGACACTGGCCCTGCAACCAGAACCTTTAGAACTTCTATTTCTAAAAGGTTTTAGCTACAAGCTATTTAATGTTTTAGAAACTGCAACAAACTGTGATGGCCACAAATCCAAACTTGCCTCATAAGCCTGGTTAGAGGACCTGACCTACTCAAAGTAAGTACTTCTATTTGAACCAGAGGACACTTCCTCATATTCTCAAGTGCTTCAGTATTTAATTACACACATTCTAGAAAAAGGGTCATCATTTCTCATTGAAGTATGTTCAACATCAGGTTCCACAAACAGCTATCCCACTTATGCTAAATTAAAAGAGCTTTCAGGAAGACAAATTTCCTCACCTACAAGTACTAACACAGTGTAATCAAATCACCTCTTAGCATTTTCCAGGAGTGCCAGAGAGTCTGAGAGATATCTTCAGTCACTGCTATAAATCTGTAGCTGAGTTCTGTTTCTAAATTGCTATTGTTCTTACAAAACCATGGCAGAGGT